AATCGTAAAATATATAAATGTTTTGGAAAAATCACAAAAAATGAAAAATGTTTGAAAAATCGCAAAATATGAAAGTTTTTTGAAAAATCGCAAAATATGAAAATTTTTTGAAAAATCGCAAAATATGAAAGTTTTTTGAAAAATCGCAAAATATAAATTTTTTTTGAAAAATCGCAAAACATTAAAAATTTTTGAAAAATCGCAAAAAATCACAAAAATGAAAATTTTTTGAAAAATTGCAAAATATGACAAATTTTTGAAAAATCACAAAAAATTAAAAATTTTTGAAAAATCGCAAAATATGAACAATTTTTGAAAAATCGCAAAAAATGAAATTTTTTTGAAAAATCGCAAAATATGAAAATATTTTGAAAAATCGCAAAATATGAATTTTTTTGAAAAATCACAAAAAATGAAAATTTTTTGAAAAATCGCAAAATATGACATTTTTTTTAAAAAATCGCAAAATAAGAAAATTTTTTGAAAAATCGCAAAATTTAATTTTTTTTGAAAAATCGCAAAACATGAAAATTTTTTGAAAAATCACAAAAAATCACAAAAAATGAAAATTTTTTGAAAAATCGCAAAATATGACATTTTTTTGAAAAATCGCAAAATATGAATTTTTTTTGAAAAATCGCAAAACATGAATATTTTTGAAAAATCACAAAAAAATGAAAAATTTTTGAAAAATCGCAAAATTTAAATGTTTTTTGAAAAATCGCAAAACATGAAAAATTTTTTGAAAAATCACAAAACATGAAAATTTTTTGAAAAATCGCAAAAAATGAAATTTTTGAAAAATCGCAAAATATGAACAATTTTTGAAAAATCGCAAAAAATCACAAAAAAATTAAAATTGTTTGAAAAATCGCAAAAAATCACAAAAAATGAACATTTTTATAAAAATCACAAAAAAATTTAATTTTTTGAAAAATCGCAAAAAAGAAATTTTTGAAAAATCGCAAAATATGAACAATTTTTGAAAAATCGCAAAAAATCACTAAAATGAAAAAATTTTTGAAAAATCACAAAATATGAACAATTTTTGAAAAATCGCAAAAAATGAAAATTTTTTGAAAAATCGCAAAATATAAAATTTTTTGGAAAAATCACAAAAAATGAAAAATGTTTGAAAAATCGCAAAATATTAAAATTTTTTGAAAAATCGCAAAATATGACATTTTTTTGAAAAATCGCAAAATATGAAATGTTTTTGAAAAATCGCAAAACATGAAAATTTTTTGAAAAATCGCAAAAAATCACAAAAAATGAAAATATTTTAAAAAATCGCAATTTATGACCAATTTTTGAAAAATCGCAAAAAATAAAAAATTTTTGAAAAATCGCAAAACATGAAAATTTTTTGAAAAATCGCAAAAAATCACAAAAAATGAAAATTTTTCGAAAAATCGCAAAATATAAATTTTTTTTGAAAAATCGCAAAACATGAAAATTTTTTGAAAAATCACAAAACATGAAAATTTTTGGAAAAATCGCAAAAAATCACAAAAATTGAAAATTTTTATAAAAATCACAAAAAAATTTAATTTTTGAAAAATCACAAAAAATGAAAAATGTTTGAAAAATCGCAAAATATGAAAATTTTTTGAAAGTTTTTTGAAAAATCGCAAAATATGAAAATTTTTTGAAAAATCGCAAAATATGAAAATTTTTTGAAAAATCGCAAAACATGAAAATTTTTTGAAAAATCGCAAAATATAATTTTTTTTTGAAAAATCGCAAAACATGAAAAATTTTTGAAAAATCGCAAAAA